CAATCCTCACCAAACACACTGTCCCAACATCCCCATTCTCACCACAATCCCCACCACACTGCCATCCCCACCTCCRTCCCCATCCCAACCCACTCCCTTCCTGTCTCTGGAAAAGGGTCACTGGGCGCAGCTGTGGCAAGGACTGGCAACAATACAGCAACAATAATGAAAACTTCAACAACAAAATCCCAAATCTGCCTTGTGTTTGTAGAAGGGCTTGAAAAGGCTGGAAAAGATTGGACAAAGCTCACCGGACTTAGCTTGGGCAAGGACTGACACCAGAGTGACAAAAGGCCCAACCACAGACAGGCAGTGCCAGTGCCCCAATGGTGCCTAGTGAAAGGAATAAGATAAATGTGTCTTTACAAACAGACTGTGAATCTGCTTGTAGATAGGGCCAGGGACTTGTAAATAAGGAGATAACAGGAGAAAATATCAGTTTCAGAAAGTGTTAATAACTCACATGGACTGCGTCTCAGCTAAGGTCATGCTAAATTTCTGAACTTGGAGAAGAACAACAAAGACTTAATAGAGCTATGAATATCATTTGTTATACATACGGGGGTGCATATTAGAGGGGGACATACAGTAGACAATTTGGGAAGTCTGTACCTTCCAAGTGCCTCAGCAATGGGGAAAGGGAGAGGATGATGTGGCTGGGAAAATTAGGATATAAAGGAGGCTGCATCCTCCAACAGTTTGAGAGACCCCATGGGAAATGCCCCATGGCCTCTCCCTTTGTTCATGAATAGTTACAGAACTCCTCTGCCTCCTTTTTGGACATGAACCTCTGATGTTATGAATTTTTCCTCACACCTGGGAGCGATGCCAGGGGCTGGATGATGCCCCACAAGCAGTGCCCACTCTCCCAAAGCCTGCTGCTTTCAGGATGTGCCATGGCAGCAGATATCCCACATTCCAAAGTCTCCTAAGGCAATAGGGAATGGGGGGATGCCGGCAGGGAAGTTGCTGGGTTTCTCATGACCCRAGCCCARGATCTGTTTGAGGGAATGATCTTGCATTCTGGGGACACTTTGGACACCACAAGTTCAGAAGGATCTAAAGCTGTTGGAGTGTCCGAAAGAGGGACACGGAGCTGGGGAAGGGTCTGAGGAGCGGCTCAGGGCTCTTGGCTTGTTCAGCTGGAGSAGAGGAGACTGAGGGGAGACTCCTCGGGGGCTGCAGCTCCTCCCGAGGGGAGGCGGAGGGGCAGGGGCTGAGCTCTGCTCTGGGACAGGGCCAGGAGCCCAGGGAACGGCTGGAGCTGTATCAGGGTTGGGATGGATCTCAGGGAAAGGTTCTTCTGTCCCCAGAGGGTGCTGGCACTGCCCAGGCTCCCCAGGGAATGGTCCCRGCCCCGAGGCTGCCAGAGCTGCAGGAGCGTTTGGACAGCGCTGCAAGGGATGAACAGGGTGGGGATTTTKGGGGGTCTGTGCAGGCCTGGGCTGGACTGGATAATCCCTGTGGGTTCCTCCTAGCTCAGGATATTCCAGGATTCTGTGAATGGTTCTACTCCATCTCAGGGCTGCAGTTATCAGCTCTTTCTTGTGAATAACATACAAGGGAGCCTTAAAGAGAGACTTGRTTATTATGTGAGGCTGAGCTGCATGATTGATAACCAGGAGTMCACAATTAATGGCCAAGGATTGCATGCAGCTCACTGCATCGCTGCAGTAGGACCAGGATGTGTGGTTGTGCCAGGCAGGGTGACAGTGAAGATGGTGGTCTGGTGTCACCAGAGCATGGCAGATGGACAGTTTGTGGACAGGGACCCCTCTGCCCCACAAGGAGCACCCTGGGACCCCAGCACCAGCCCCTCTGTGGGCATGGGCAGGAACTGGGGCGTTCCACACCAGCGCTGGGAAGGGTGTGAGGCTGTGACTCCTCCTGCAGCTCCTACCCCAGCTCCTCCCGGGCCATGCAGGGCTGAGCTCCAGGGGCAGCAGCAGCCCCTGGCCCAGTGCCCTCCCAAGAGAGGGGTGCACACACGACTCGCTTCACCCCTGCAGGGAAAGGATAAYGGGAGTCAGGGACAGGGAATGGGAGGGACACAGACACTCTGCAGGGTCGTGGGGATCCTACACTGAGTCATGGGCAATTTCTGGGGAGGCACAGGGATCCCACACCCTCCTRGAGGGGCCAGGACCTGACGAATGCCCTTAAGGACCCAAAAAACTTCCCCAGAGCTCAAGAATCCCTTCAGGAACCAAGAAACTCTCTCCAAGGAACCCCTCAAAGACCCAAGRAGCCCCATAAGGACTCAGGGAGCCGCCCCTCAGGAACTCAATGAGTCCCTTCCAGGGACCAAGAAACCCTCCTAAGAACCCCCTCAAGGACAAAGAGAATTCCCCTAAGGACCCAAGAACCATCCCCAGGGACCTGATACATATGGTCTATATCAAAGTGACAAGGTGCTTATGAGGCCTATTCATTGAAAATTTTCTATATCCTTTTTATATGTTAACAATATAAGAATGTAATAACTTTTTATATGGTATTAAAATAAAATGTAATCACTTTCAATATATTATCAATTATAGCTTTTTTATATATTGCTGTAAGTTTTTAATAGTGTATTAGCAACATGTAGTATACCAGCTGCACGTAATCTAACCAGCTGGATTAGTACATAGATACATGAAATCACCAAGGGGCATAAATCAGAAAAAGTTCTGAAGAAAGTAGACAGGTAGATGCTATAACAAGAAACAGTAGAGAGCACTAATGAGAACTTGTCAGAAGCACAGGACAATCAGCAAAATAATTGAAAATGAAGACTTGGAGGACCAGAAAAAACCATGAACGTCACAACGGTGCATGCCCTGAAGACAAAGGTGAAAAGTCCACCATGATGAAGAGGATGGTATCTCATTAGAGGGAGACCCCCGCGACCACCGAATTGAGGATGACACATGCACACTTGTAAAACTGTGATATCAGGTATTTCTGTGCCCATGTATGGTGGTGGGTGTATGGTGGGTGTATGGGGGGCAGTGACAATGGTAAAGTTACACAATGCTTACAGTATGAATATGTGCTCATTTGAAGCAAAGGCAGGTGGGTTGGGAGGAGAAATCCCCCTCACCTCTAGTGCTGCAATAAACAAATACCTGCTCTATAGACACCCATCTATGGGGTTTTATTTCTAGGCCTTTTCGGGCATCAGACCAAAATAACGCTTTAAGGACCCAAGCGTCCTCCCAGGGACCCAAGGAGCCCCTCACGGACCAAGAGAACCCTGTTGATGATCCAAGGACCCCCGGGGCCCCTCAATCCCCAGCGGCGGGAGGGGCCGCAGCACACGGATCAGCCCCGCCATGGTGCTGAGGGCCCCGCGCCGTTGCCATGGCGCCGCGCGCCGCCGCTTCCTGTGTGTGTTCGAAGCGGCGGGCGGGGCGCGCTCCCGTCGTGCCCTGCGCGGAGGCGGGGGCGGCCGCCATGTTGTTGAGCGGCGGGGCCGGCGGGCGCTGACGGAGGAGGCGGAGCTGGGCCGGGCCGGGCTGGTGGTACCGGGAACGGAGCAGGTACGGTCGGTGCGGTGCCCGGGGCACGCCGCGCCGCGCTATGCCGTGGCAGGGCACGGCGTGGCACGGTGCGGGGASATGGGAGGGCTGCAGCCGGCTGGGCTCCGCGCTTTCCCCTGGGGGCACAGGCCTGTGGGCCGGGCCGGGCTGGGCGGAGGGGCCGGGCTGGGCTGGGCCGGGCCGGGCGGGGCTGGGGGTGCCTTCCCTCCTTCACTCCCTTTCTCCCTCCCTCCYTCCTCAGYCGGTCACCGAGCAGCCCCGCCTCTCCCTCCCCTCCCGTTGCGGTGCCTTGTCAGCCCTGGCAGGATCGGCCCGGTCTGAGCCGGTTCCTGCGGGTCCGGGCGGGCTGTGCCCCGTCACGGCGAGGCCGGTGAGCCCAACGATCCGGTGTGTTTGGTAACGGGCATCTGGCACCTGCACCCGAGGCCGGGGCTGTGCAAAGCGCTGGAAGCTCGCGGTGTAACCCCTTCGCTGGCCCGCTGGGGAAAGAGCCGGAGCTTGGATCAGTGTATCCCCCACCAGCTCTTGGTTCTTGATCAAGTTGATAACACAAACGGTAACAGATTTTAGTGGTGTGGATCTTATTCCTAATGACATCTGCCAAGCARCAGAAACTTTGGCCAGCAGTCAGTTGTTTACCTGCAGCACCGGTGGATGTGCCCCCGCCCACCCGATGGCTCTGTGGTCTGAGAGAGCTTGTTWCTGCTGTGTGTTTTTAATCTGTTGTTGACATTTTGCACGTGAGATTTGTAAGCAGAATCAGCCTAAATTAAAGGTACTCCAGATGGTGAGAGGGTTCTGCTGGGGCAGGGAGGGCTGTCAGGTCACATTGGAGTCACCTCTAGAAGGTGGTGTTGGATTCATTACGTGGAGGATTCTTTTCTCTTGATTTGTAGCTCTTGAAAGCTTTGTGTCCATTTTCTTGTGAGGTGCTGATTCTTCCYGAGCATGTTTAATGATGCCATCCCAGTATTTCGTGCTGAAGGTTCTTCAGGGAGCAGCTCTGCTGTGGACAACAAAACCTCACTGCAGCCTTCCAGATCCTGAAGGAGCTGACAAAAAAGATGGAGAGACTATGTACAAGAGCTTGGAGGGACAGGAGAAGAGGGAATGTCTTCCCACTTCCAGAAGGCAGGGTTACATGGGATATTGGGAAGAAATTCTTCCCTGTGAGGGAGGTGAGGCCCTGGCACAGGGTGCCCAGAGCAGCTGTGGCTGCCCCTGGATCCCTGGCAGTGCCCAAGGCCAGGTTGGATGGGGCTTGGAGCAGCCTGGGACAGTGGAAGGTGTCCCTGCCATGGCAGGGGGATGAAAGGACACGGGCTTTGAGGTCCCTTCAAGCCCAAGGCATTCTGGGATTCTATGTTCTTGTATTAGTTTGATTTGGTTTTTTGATTGTTGTAAATAATACAAAAGCAAAATTTTCTGGGGCTGTTGACTGAAGCTGTCATGTTTTCTAAATTCTATTATTTCCTTTTGTAGTTTGTCCAGGGACAGTATTGCATCTTTAGTACCTTAAGTGTTATGATGAAGCAGAGTTGTGGATGCCTGACCTTTCAGTAAAGCTCTGAGGACAGGGCTRCTGGTGAATTTTTAATCTTTGCATTCGGTGCACTGACTTTTCCTTTACTGGAAGCCTTATCAGAGCATATATCTAGGACTGGTGCTTTCAGTTGTCTGTACCCCACTTTTAAGTGCAAGATAATTGGACAACCCTCTTGATTTTTTGAAGAGAAACTGAATGTTATTAAAATCAGTGGCCCTATGAAAAATTGCTTAGACTGAGCATAGAAACTACTAAACAGAAATAAGCAACKATCATGAAGGTTCTGTAAGTTGTTACAAAATGCAGACTAGCCTTTCTTTGTCCTTTTTTCTGCTCCTAAGTCGATCCTCTTTGAGTCTGGAGTGTCTGACATGTGAAAACTTAAAAAAAAAACTTCTAAGGACCCTTTGTCCCTAAGATCCAAGTACTTCATCCACCCCCACTTCCTTTTTATTAACCCCCCCAGGGTTCAGTCCTGTGCCTCGTGTTGTTTAACTCATCCGTCAGTGGTTGGATGAAAAGGTTCGTGCCTCCTCATCTGCTGACACAAAGCAGGAGCATGGCTCATTCCCCCGAGGGCTGTGYAGTTCTGCAGAAGAGCCTCAACAGGCTGGGAAGATGGGCAGGGAAGAACTGTCAGAATTTCAGCAAGGGCAGATGTAGGATCCTCCACTTGGGGAAGGATAACCCCAGTCCAGGCTGGAGAACAGCTGCAGGAGGCCCTRGGTGTCCTGGTGGACAACAAATGGTTCCTGACCAGCTGTTTGTCCTGGGGGCCAAGGGGCTGGTGAGATCCTGGTGTGCATTAGGAATAGCATTGCCAGCAGGTTGAGSGAGGTRATCCTGCCCCTCTGCTCASCTCTGGTGAGGCAAATCTGCAGTGCTGTGTCCATTTCTGGACAGGAGGGACATGGAGCTCCTGGARCAGATCCATCAGGGGCTGCRGAGATGCTGAAAGGACTGGAGCATTTCTATCTTCAAGAAAGGCTGAGCGAGCTGAGTCTGTTCAGCCTTGAGAGGGGACCTCATCCCCATTTCTCAGGGTCTGCAGAGCAAGGCCCAGGCTCTGCTCTGTGGGGCCCAGCAATGGCATAGGAGGAAGGAACTGATACCCAGAAAGTTCCACTTGAACATGGGGAAGAACTTCCCTGTGCAGTAACTGAACACTGGAACAGGCTGCCCAAGGAAGGTGTGCAGTCTTCCTTACTGGAGATATTCCAGAAATGTCTGGACACAATCCTGTGCCATATGTTCTGGGATGACCCTGCTTGAGCAGGGAGGTGGGACCAGATGAGCCCCTGTGGTTCCTTCCAACCTGACCCATCCTGTTTCTGTGTAACACTGGGGTATGCRGGGCAGTGGTGGAGTCCCCATCACTGCAGGGGTTTAACAGACTTGGATCTGGCACCTGGGCTGTGGTTAGTGGAGGCCTTGGCAGTGCTGAGGAAAAAGCTGCACTCTGATCTTAGGGGGCTTTTCCAACTKAAATGATTCTGTGATTCTACACCGAATAATTAAAAAAGTAAGCATCTTCTAGGTGATTACCAAAATAGGTGCCATCATATGCTGGTTGAAAGCCGAACCTTTGTTTCTCCTATCTGTCCAGTGACTTGTCAAAAATGTGTTTGTGAGGGAAAAACTCCCATTGGGTGACAGTGGGAACAGAAGTGCTGTGGCTGTAACTGGCCCTCTGTGGAGACCAGTGACTGTCCAGAGCTCAACTCCCATATCCAAGGGCATTTCTGGGGACCTGGCAGTATGGAGAGAACTCTGGGCCCTGCCTCGTGAGTCAGGAAGGACAGCAGCATCCAGGCACATCCRTTTGGCACAAGTTATGGCCTGGACTGAGATGAAATCTCAAAGCAGAACATTGTAAGGTTAGTGCATGTCCCCTCTTTGTCAAGAAGAACCTTGGGGAAATCATACCCAGCCCCTTCCCCAGTGTAGGAATTGGCTTCTAGCACCTGCAGAAGGGATGGGATTCTGTGCTGCTCTGCCTCTTCTCAGAGGAGAACCTCTTCCATTAGTAAAAGGGAGCAGCAGACCTTGCTCAGCACTTGGTGTTTCTCAAGCAAGACCTACTGGAGCTGAGYCTGCTCTTCAGCCCTTGGAGCATCCCTGAGCCGGGTGGCAGCCAGCACAGCCCAGGGGTGCAGGTACTGCTTCACCAGGTGCCGTTGTCAATTACTGCATGTCTGTAACTGGAGTGTTCCTGCTGCTGCCTGTTTCGCTGTTGTAACAGATAAACCTCTTTAATGAGACTTGCTGTTTATTAGGGGCCTTTTGGCCCATGGGCAAGAGGTGCCACCAGAGTGACCCCRTGTGTTGTGCTTTTTGTTTCCCAGTGCAAGACTTCCTGCACTGCTGAAGACTTYGTGCTGTATTTTGTATTCCCTGGGAACAAGTGTGTCCCTCTTATTTATGGAGCATCATGGTGAAAAGGTGAAATAATAACCACCTGCAAGCAATAAAASAGAGGTTTAATAGTGGTGATTTTCTGAGAAATTCCCCACTGAGTGCGTGGTTGTCATGTCTGCTTGGATAAGCTCTGCGCTGCCAAGAGACAATGGTACGCTGCAGTGGGATGTGTATTGAATGAAAACGTCATCTATGAAGGTAAAATAACAAACCTACAATTCTCCTGACTTATTAAAAACTGGCTGAGGCAAATTTAGAACCYCTCAGCAAGGGGCCTGGCTGCTGTGTGGGTACAGTGGTGGGTTGGCCGCTGGTTCTGATCTCTGTAGTTGTCCCTTATTTGTATTTGAGATTCAGTTGAACAGTTGAAAATAGCCTGGTCTTTGGATGACAGGCTTGACTGTCATCTTCCCTTCTTTACTTTAGTTGTGGAGAAAAAAGGGATTTAGGAAAAACATTATGCTGAAGGCGATGGTGATACCTGAGCATCATCTGTGTGAGAGGCAGCTAAAGTGATGTTCCTGATGGGCTTTATGGAGTCTCCCTGAGACGAGCACTTGCATCTAAGAGCAACTGTTTTGTATATGAGAATCCTGGTGAAAACCTTTCAGGTTTGTAATGRTGTACTGAGAAGATATATTAGACATTAGGAAAAAATCCTTTGCTGTAAGTGTGGTGAGGCCCTGACACAGGTTGCTTAGAGCAGCAGTGGCCACCCCATCTGTAGAAGTGTCCAAGCCAGACTGGATGGGCCTTGGAGCACTCTGGGATAGTAGAAGATGTCCCTACCCATGGCAGAGGGTAGAACTAGCTGAGCTTTGGGTTCCTTTGAGCCCACATCATTCCAGGATTCTGTGATTAGTTGTGGCAGCATTTATCTTTGGTAAAGGTCCTTCCACAGACACAGATTTTGCTGTTTCCGGAAGGTCTTACAACCCTGAGTTTCTGCTGGCACGTGATARTCCAGGCCACAAACAGAGCTCTGTGTCATGAGCATTCTGTCCTTGGCTCCCACAGGCTTCCTGCAGSCTCAGTC